ATTTAAAAAAAACTCTGCATAAGTGCCTTTAAATTTTTCCCTACTAAGTATCAGCTTGAGATCATTGCATTTTTGAATATTGGGTATTCTTTCCTTTCTTTCAACACACCGGCCATATCCCACCAAGGCGGGGTGGCCCAAAAAGGGAAAAATGAAAATTTCTCCTTTTACATTTAGTAATATATACAGGAGAAGGGTACTAGCCCCTTGCTCCCGGCATTTTAGTTGCCTTTTACAACACACATGGCTTACGGAAGGAAGAATTCTGTTCTGCTTCCCCATGGAGGTAAGAGGAAATAAATAAGAACAAGAACTAGTAAGAAAATAGAAGAAAACCCAGAGGGGTGTGTATATATATGCTTGTACATGTATGTGTAGTGGACCTAAGTGAAAGTAGAAGTAGCAAGACGTACCTGAAACCTTGCATGTTTATGAGACAGAAAAATGGCACCAGCAATCCTTTCTTCTTTCTTTCAACACACCGGCCGTATCCCACCGAGGCGGGGTGGCCCAAAAGGAAAAACGAAGTTTCTCTTTTTGCATTTAGTAATATATACTGGAGAAGAGGTTACTAGCCCCTTGCCCCGGCATTTTAGTTGCTCCTCACAACATGCTGGCTTACGGAGGAAGAATTCTGTTCCACTTCCCCATGGAGGTAAGGAAATAAACAACAAGAACAAGAACTAGTAAGAAAATATTAGAAAACCCAGAGGGTGTGTATATATATGCTTGTACATGTATGTGTAGTGTGACTAAGTGTAAGTAGAAGTAGCAGGACATACCTGAAATCTTGCATGTTTATGAGACAGAAAAATGGACACCAGCAATCCTACCATCATGTAAAACAATTACAGGCTTTCGTGTACACTCACTTGGCTGGACGGTAGTACCTCCCTGGGTGGTTGCTGTCTACCAACCTACTACCATGTTGGGTATTATATATGCCCTAAATTAAGAAGAGTGCTGTACTTTTGTCATGTAAACAGAATGGATATATAATTGTAAATTTTGCATTATGATAATGAGAAAATACAGCATTGCTGGGGATACACTAGAGTAATGTCCGGAGAAAGCATAGAATACACTGATGTAAGAAACAGCTTGAGATACACTAATGTAGGAACAGCATGTGATAATACTAATCTTTATTTCTACAAGTACATGATACAACTATTACAGACCTGCCTGACATTGTTAACATGCTGTATAGAAAGTCCCTGATTATGAAGAGCATTTCTGGCAACTTAGGTTAATCTTGTCCCCTAGGATGCTACCCACAATAGTCGGCTAATACCCAGGTGCAAACTTACTGTGAGGTGAACAGAGGCAGCAGGTGTAAGGAAACATACCCAACATCTTACCATGCTGGGTAAAATCTACGTAGATCTATGTTCATTCGTTTTAGCTCTTCGAACGTAGATCTATGTTTTTTTTACATGCTTTCAAATGGAGAATATAAAGGGTCGGAGCACTACGTGTGTAAGCTAGATCTACGTTTGGACAATTTAAGGGTTAAATGTTTATTTATCTATTACTAATTGTACTGTGTATATTTGTTGTGTGTATGTAAAACTATAATTAATCTCTATAAAATGTATTTTTTTGTGAATATTTTTGGGTTCTGGAACGGATTAATTGTATTTACATTATTTCTTATGGGAAATATTGCTTCGAATTTCAAACGTTTAGACTTTAGAACTAGCTCCTGGAACAGTTTTAAGTTCAAAATTTGGGGTACCACTATACAGGGAAATAGCATGGGTTTATACTAATGTATGGGAAACAGCATGGGATATGCTACAGCACTATAGGGAAACAGCATGGATAGAGTATTGTAGGGAAACAGCATGGGATATACTAATATAGGAGATATGGGATATACTAATATAGTCGGACCGAAACGTCGTCGTAAGCTTCTGTCTTTATGTGCGGGTTATTTGTGTATCGTTCCAGTCACGGTTTTGTGCCTTTTTGTTATTTATTTATAGGAGAAACAACATGGGATATACAGTGGTACCTGAGTTTCGAACTTTCTTCGTTCCAGAAGGCTGTTTGAGTGCCGTTACCGAACGAATTTGTTCCCATAAGGAAAAATGTAAATTAAATTAGTCCGTTTCACACCCCCAAAAATACACTTACAGAATGCACTTACAATAATACACTTACATAATTGGTCAAGTTGGGAGCAGTTTGAAACTCGGGGTACCACTCTACTAATGTAGGAGAAACAACATGGGATATACTAATGCAGGGGAAACAGCATGGGATATACTAATATAAGGGAAACAGCATGGGATACACTAATGTATGGGAAACCATATGTAATACACTAGAACAATGTAGGAGAAATAGTGTGGGACTTATTAATATAACAGTGGAAAAGAGCCTGGCATCCCCCATATATATTACCCAAGAGGACTGGGGTTGTTTTTATCATATAGTATGTGATATTACATGTACAAGCATATATATACATACCCCTCTGGGTTTCCCTTCTATTTTCTTTCTAGTTCTTTGTTCTTGTCTATTTCCTCTTATCTCCAGGGGAAAGTGGAACAGAATTCTTCCTCCGTAAGCCATGTGTGTCATAAGAGGTGACTAAAATGCCGGGAGCAAGGGGGTAGTAACCCCTTCTCCTTTATATATTACTAAATTTGAAAGGAGAAACTTTCGTTTTTCCTTTTGGGCCACCCCACCTCGGTGGGATATGGCTGGTACGTTGAAAGAAGAAGAAGTATGTGATATATTATATATGCATTGTTCCTTTGTATAAAGGCAAAGGGGACAAAAGAGAGTGCAAAAGTTATAGGGGGATAAGTCTGTTGAGTATACCTGGTAAAGTGTATGGTAGAGTTATAATTGAAAGAATTAAGAGTAAGACGGAGAATAGGATAGCAGATGAACAAGGAGGCTTTAGGAAAGGTAGGGGGTGTGTGGACCAGGTGTTTACAGTGAAACATATAAGTGAACAGTATTTAGATAAGGCTAAAGAGGTCTTTGTGGCATTTATGGATTTGGAAAAGGCATATGACAGGGTGGATAGGGGGGCAATGTGGCAGATGTTGCAGGTGTATGGTGTAGGAGGTAGGTTACTGAAAGCAGTGAAGAGCTTTTACGAGGATAGTGAGGCTCAAGTTAGAGTACATAGGAAAGAGGGAAATTATTTCCCAGTAAAAGTAGGCCTTAGACAAGGATGTTTGATGTCACCGTGGTTGTTTAATATATTTATAGATGGGGTTGTAAGAGAAGTAAATGCGAGGGTCTTGACAAGAGGCATGGAGTTAAAAGATAAAGAATCACACATAAAGTGGGAGTTGTCACAGTTGCTCTTTGCTGATGACACTGTGCTCTTGGGAGATTCTGAAGAGAAGTTGCAGAGATTGGTGGATGAATTTGGTAGGGTGTGCAAAAGAAGAAAATTAAAAGTGAATACAGGAAAGAGTAAGGTTATGAGGATAACAAAAATATTAGGTGATGAAAGATTGGATATCAGATTGGAGGGAGAGAGTATGGAGGGTGAATGTATTCAGATATTTGGGAGTGGACGTGTCAGCAGATGGGTCTATGAAGGATGAGGTGAATCATAGAATTGATGAGGGGAAAAGGGTGAGTGGTGCACTTAGGAGTTTGTGGAGACAAAGAACTTTGTCCTTGGAGGCAAAGAGGGGAATGTATGAGAGTATAGTTTTACCAACGCTCTTATATGGGTGTGAAGCATGGGTGATGAATGTTGCAGCGAGGAGAAGGCTGGAGGCAGTGGAGATGTCATGTCTGAGGGCAATGTGTGGTGTGAATATAATGCAGAGAATTTGTAGTTTGGAAGTTAGGAGGAGGTGCGGGATTACCAAAACTGTTGTCCAGTGTGCTGAGGAAGGGTTGTTGAGGTGGTTCGGACATGTAGAGAGAATGGAGCGAAACAGAATGACTTCAAGAGTGTATCAGTCTGTAATGGAAGGAAGGTGGGGTAGGGGTCAGCCTAGGAAAGGTTGGAGGGAGGGGGTAAAGGAGGTTTTGTGTGCGAGGGGCTTGGACTTCCAGCAGGCGTGCGTGAGCGTGTTTGATAGGAGTGAATGGAGACGAATGGTTTTTAATACTTGAAGTGCTGTTGCAGTGTGAGCAAAGTAACATTTATGAAGGGATTCAGGGAAACCGGCAGGCCGGACTTGAGTCCTGGAGATGGGAAGTACAGTGCCTGCACTCTGAAGGAGGGGTGTTAATGTTGCAGTTTAAAAACTGTAGTGTAAAGCACCCTTCTGGCAAGACAGTGATGGAGTGAATGATGGTGAAAGTTTTTCTTTTTCGGGCCACCCTGCCTTGGTGGGAATCGACCGGTGTTATAATAATAATAAACAAAATTTATTATAATTATTGGCTGCCTTACACCTCTGGCACCTTATGTGTTCTTGGAATGGAAGCACAAAGAACAGATTGTTTGATAAGTTTTTTATTTTTTCAGAGCGTTAGTTGAGTATTTATCATCGGAGAAAATTACGTCTGAAATTGGGTTTGGCATTGGGCTCAAGGATCTCATTCTTTGCCAGGTGAGGGAAAATGAATGATTGTAGATTTTTGTCATACTTCATTATTGTTATCTCCCTTATACAGTGGACCCCCGGTTAACGATATTTTTTCACTCCAGAAGTATGTTCAGGTGCCAGTACTGACCGAATTTGTTCCCATAAGAAATATTGTGAAATAGATTAGTCCATTTCAGACCCCCAAACATACACGTACAAATGCACTTACATAAATACACTTACATAATTGGTCGCATTCGGAGGTAATCGTTATGCGGGGGTCCACTGTATAAGAACGTCTTTATTAAAAACCTGAGGAAGTTAAAATAATAAAATTGCTGTGCAGCATATTTTTATTACATAAGCATCAGTAAATTGTTCATGAAACTAGATGTTCCTTCTCACTGCCAGTGAAAGTCTTTCAATTTGTGTTAATGTTATGAGTTTTTTGCCTTTACAAAATTCTCTCTCTCAATACAGTAATACTGTAGCAGCATTTTTGACTCATATCAATTGTGCAGGTTGTAACTAAAACATGCCAGTGCTGTATCAATCTAAGCAGATTTATTTTTTATTCACCTTATTCTCAAATTGTGTTTTAGAAAATCCTGGAGGTGCACAAAGACTTACACACAATCTTCTGTAATTCTAGACTCCATTGCAATTCCCATTCTAAAAAAAATTAAAATTCAGAAATTGTTTCTACTCAGAGCTATATGAAACATTTTTTTACTAAAGATTTAGAGATTGAAGTGTGACATTTTCAGCAGTGACCAATCAGTACAGCAGCTTGTCATCTACTGGAGAGGAGCTGTCACACTTATGAGAGCTTTGAAACTAACTGCTGCAGTTTGTAGTTTACGTTTCCCCAGAATGCGACACTCACTCTCAAACAACATAAACCTCAACCTTATAATTCAAAGTAGATGAGCCTGAAGTTCTTTAAATATTTATTAATTGCTAAAAGTGATCTCTAAAGTAGGAGACTTCTGCAGCTTCCATCTGCATTTTCAATGAATTCCATTTCCAAATTTACTGTTCATTGGGCTTTTATTGAAGGTAATCATTGTGATCAGCAAAGGTTTGACTAATGCACAGATAACTCACACATAGGAGAGAGGAGCTTACAACGACGTTTTGGTCCAACTTGGACCATTTACAAAGTCACACTAACAAAAAAGGAGAGGAGGAGGGAGTATATATAGGCCAGCAGACAGGGACGGGACAAGGGAGGTAGTAGGAAATGAAGAAAAGTAGTGGTAGAGGTGGTAGTGGTGGTAGTAGTAGTAGTAGAGTCAGTCAAAGACTAAGAAAGAGAAGCACAGCAAGGGAGCTAGGGGCCCACAAAGGGTAGGAGCAAGAACACAGAGGGGGGGGAATATTAATGGACCAAATACCCAAGGCAGAAGAAAGAAAACTCGAGGAGAAAGAGGAAAGGGGAAGAGATAAGGGGGAAAAAAGCATTAGGTTAAGTCACGTGTGTTCTGAAGTTTGGAGGATTTTACAGTGTAATGGGAAAGGAAGGCATCTACAGAGACAAAGCCAGAACTAAGATTCATACAAGGAAAGTTGTGTATAAGGGAGGATTCAACCAAATGGCCACTGTGAAAGTAAGACATAGGGTAGACAGTTTTAGCAGAAGACCAGTCAGTAGGATGACTGTGATCTCAGACATGACAGAAAAGAGGTTTGACCAAACTTTTTTAACCCTTAAAGTGTCCAAATGTAGATCTACGTTGAGGTGCATAGCGCTCCAATCGTAGATCTACATTTTTTTACATAAGAAAGCATGTAAAATTGGACATAGATGTACTTCCAGAGTGCTACGCACATCAACGTAGATCTACGTTTGGACAGTTTAAGGGTTAAGTCTGCATTTCAAACTTTAAAATTTTTGTGAAATATATGAAACCACACTTTCTTTACAGTATTTATGCCAACTGTTTATATCCTTGAAAAGAATATTAAAGCCAGTTATTAATTCAGTTTGCTATCACATTTCTTGGCAGGAGTACCCTCCCTCATCCCTAACAGCAGCAAAGAGTTTTCAAGCAGTGGTGGGGACATTAAATGCTTCAGCAGGACTTGGTCGCTGCCAGGTCTTTGTTCGAGACTTCGTTGTCACTCAGATAGTAGGAAAGGATCCCAGCGAGATATGGCAGGTTAGTAATTTTCAGTCATTGTCCTTCAAGCATGATACATCATGTGCTATGCTATAAAGGCAGTTCATAAATTTTACAAAACTGATATGCACAGATTCAGTGGTTACCATACTATAATATAGTACTTCATTTTTTAATAATCTTGCCAATAATTTAGAGAAAAGGTTGAGAGTGTTATTAACCACTCTAGTTACCAGACAATGTCTCTGAAAGTCATAAGTGTATCAGTGCTGTTGGTTTATTTTAAATATGAAATTTTACTCTGTTTTGAAAATGTTTATATTTGCTTCAGAAGTTTACTGATTCTCTTCATTACACATGTACATTTGTACAATCTAATCCCCAATATGCTGACAGGATAATCTTCTCCACAGGGCTAACAATAACAAAGAATGATTTTTTTTTTTTTTCAAAAACAAAATGTTCTGTTTAGTATGAAAGTTATTGGCTCACATAATTTCAAAATTTATTGTTAATCTTGAGTTTAAGTATCTTACCTTTCCGACCATGCTGCTGCAGCAAAGCTCCCAGCCTAGCCAGCAAATATTATCTCTGAGAGTGGCTATAAACCGGAGCAGGTATTTAATGTTGATGAGACAGGTTTGCTCTGGAAGAACATGCCATTTAGAACACTCGGTAAGCAAGAGAAAAATGCTCCTGGATTCAAGACTGTAAAAGACTGTTTTAGTCTGTTTCTTTGTGGTAATGCATCAGGTGACTTTAAATGTGAGCCCATGCTTGTTTATTGCTCCAAGAATTTCTGTGCTTTACAAGATAAAGACAAAAGCGTGTTGCTTGTTACTTGGAAGTCCAACGCCCTAGAATGGGTGACTGAGGCCTTTTTCATGGAATGGTTCACCATCACTTTATTCCTGAAGTGAAGATGTACCTGTCACTTCAAAATCTTGCATTCAGGGTTCTTCTCATTCTTGATAATTGTTGTAGTCATCTCCATGGGCAAGTGGAACAGAATTCTTCCTCCATAAGCCATGTGTGTCATAAGAGGCGACTAAAATGCCGGGAGCAAGGGGCTAGTAACCCTTTCTCCTGTATATATTGCTAAGTGTAAAAGGAGAAACTTTCGTTTTTCCTTCTGGGCCACCCCGCCTCGGTGGGATACGGCTGGTGCATAGAAAGAAATAAAGATCTTGAACTCCTGGAGGATGTGGAGCCTGGTGTCAAGATTGCCTTTTTTTACCTCCAAATATGACATCCTTGATACAACCACTGGATTGAGGAGTTATCAAACCATGTAAGTGCCACTGCACACACATTGTGGTGCAGAAGCTAATTGCAGCAATTGAAAAAGCCCTTTTGTCCAAGTATGAAAATTTAAAACAGAAATTGGCAAAAATAGTCGTGGATCAAAAAAACCATAAATTAGCAAAAAACCCCAATTAAAAAATATGCCATAAAATTGATTAAACCCAACCCATTTTTTAAAAAGTTCAAATTTTTTGATCCCAAGGAAGTACCAGGGAGGATTTAAATAAAAGCCTGGAACTACCCCAAAAGGGTTAAGAATATTCGGGAAAATTTATTAAAAATTTAATTTCTTTGAAAAAAAATTTTGATGGCCCTAAATGAAAGTTACTGCAAAATTTTTCTGCCCTATTTCAAAGCTGCAATTAAAAGGACCTGTCAATGGGCTCCCCTAAATTTCCTTTTGGTTTGATACGGGGTTTTTCAACCAGAAGATTGAATACCTAAACCTTGTTAAACACCAGTGAACTTGCAATACAAATCTCCAATTAATAACATTTTAGATACTTATAGAAACCAAAAACCTCTTTAAATTAATTAAAAAGTTTTTTAAATTGGGATAGAAAAAAATTTGGTTTTAAAAAAGGGGGTAGGGAACAACCAAATTTTTTCCCCCATTTGGGTTTTATGAACAAAAATTATTGTTGCAAAATTTGGTTTAAGCTGAAAATAATATTATGAAAAGAATTATTACAATAACTTTAAATTAAAAACTCTTTTCAATTAGTTTTTAACAATTTAAAAAGGGGGGCATATTTTTAAATTTTTATAAAATTTTTTTTTAACGGCAAATATTTAAACCTTTTACCCGTTAACTAATAGTTTTGGTTAAATTCGGTAAAATCTATACAATTAATGAACATTTTTCAATTAAAAAACATATTCACAGCATCCTCATTTAATTAAAAAAGTTTTTTAAAGTTTGTGAATAAAAATTTTTTGGTTTTAAAGTACACAACCTTTTCCCATTTTTTTTACGCAAAAGAAACAGTGGCCAAGGTTTAAGGAACTTAATGTAAAACCAACCCCCAAATGCAAAAAAATATTATAAATTTATTTAAAATTAAATTTTTAAAATTTTTAAGAGAGATAATCTGCTTAATTTTTGGTTTTAAAATTGCTTTATGAAGAAAAAAATTTTTTGGGATTTAGGGAAACACCAGGGGAAAAGGAAGAGGGAATGTATAAACTGAAAAACAAATTTTAAATGGGAATAAAACACTTTCGGGAAGTGAAAAAATTTGGGTTATCTCAAGAATTGGGCTAGGTAAGATTGAAATACTGCAGTCTAAAATAACTCCTAAAGGGTTAAAGTAAGACAGTGCACTAAGGTTGAAATAGGATAAGAAATCCTAAAGGAACAAAAAAAGAATTTTTTTATTTCGAAGGTTGGGGGGGGGTTTGATGGTTAAGTGGTAAAGGAATTGAATGGCGGAAGGGCTTTGGTGGCGGTTGATGGGGAAAATGAAATTGCAACCAAAAAAAGGGGAAATTTGCCAAAAAAAGGAAAGTTAAAAGGGGGAGAAAGGGGTATTGGGAGGGTTTGATTATAAAGAAAAAAAAAAGGGGAGAAAGAAATTAGAGGGGAGATCATGTTTTTTAAGGTTGCTAATAATTTTTTTGGGGGGCCAAAGAATTTAAATTAAATTTGGGGGAAGGGGTGGGGTTAAACGGAAGATGAATTGGGGTACTGTTTTTTGGTGGGCTTAGAAAGGTACATTTTTATTTTCTCTCCAATTTGGTTTTTTTAAAAATTTTGTTTTATTTATAAATAATAAATTGCTTTGGTATGTGGTAAAAACAGCTGGGGAAAAAAACCATGAGCTTGAGAACTTTTAAAATGAGCCCAAAGCTTTTGGGTCGGATTCTTAAAAGTACGGATGTTAATAAAGATGAAAATTAAAAACAAAATTTAAATAAAAATCGTTAAAGGGTTTTTAAAAGTTTTTAATATTTTTTTCATTAGTAATATATTTTTTTTTGATTTTCGTTTTTTTTAAAAATTTAAAAAAGTGAATAATTTTTTAAGTTATCAATGACAATGGGTGGCACAACAATTTTGTTTTTTAAATAAGGAAAAACCCATAAAAGTTAAAACTTAATTAAATGTTTTAAGAGTGTTTTAAATAAACCGGAAACAAAAATTTTGGTATCATTAAATTTGTTGTACATTAATTGTTTTAACTTTTAATAACTTATAAAATTAAGATTTAAATTCTCCAGAATTGGTTAGTTATGATTTTTAAACTAGAAACTTAAGGATTTATGGAATAATGAAATTTAGTTACATATGTGTTAAAGGGTTTTTAATAACAAATTGATTCATAATGGAAAAATTTTTCTGTTAAACTAATAGAAAAATATTATATTTTGGGGGTGCTTTAAATACCAAATTAATTTCAGTTTTGAATTTTAATAATTTTGTTTAAAGTTTAAATAATTTTAATAAACAGTTAAAATTTCACCAAACTAATTTATTTTTTTAGATGTTTAATTTGCCATAATTTCAGGTCATTTTGTTTTAATGTCTTCTTAAGGTTTAACATTATTTTGAAATTTACATTTTCCAATTTTCTCTTTAGAACTTTTAATTTTTTAAACTGTTTACATTGTCTCTCCTTAGATTACTTCTCTCCTTGAGACTGTTACTTTGTCTCCCTTAGACTGTTACATTGTCCTTTGACTGTTTACATTGTCCTCTTGAACGTTTACATGTCTCTCCTTAAATTTTTTAAATTGTCTTCCTTAGACTGTTTACTTTGCCCTTCCTAAATTTACTTGTCTCCTTGAGACTTTTAATTTCTCTCTTAGACTGTTTACATTGTCTCCTTGAGACTGTTTACTTGCTTCCTTGAACTGTTTCTTTGTCCTCCTTGGGGACTTTTCATTGTCCCCTTGGCTGTTTCCCCCTTTGGCTTTTGGGTCTTTACTTTTTTTCCTTGAGACGTTTACTGCCCTTTTAGTAACATTTATTGGCCTTGAGACTGTTTACATTGTCTTTTCCTGAGACTGTTTACTTTGTCTCTCCTTAACTGTTTACTTTGTCTCTCCTTGAGACTGTTAATTGTCTCCTTGAACTTTTAAACTTGTTCTCTGAGACTGTTTACATTGTCTATTAACTGTTTACATTGTCTTCCTTGAGACTGTTTAATTGTCTCTCCTTAGGGGTTTAATGTCCTCTCCTTGAACTGTTTACATTGTCTCTCCTTGAGACTGTTTACATTGTCCTCTCCTTGAGACTGTTTACATTGTCTCCCTTGAACTGTTTACATTGTCCTCTCCTTGAGACTTTTACATGTCTCTCCTTACTGTTTACATGTCTTTGAGATTTCATTGTCTCTCCTTGAACTGTTTACATTGTCTTTTACTCCCTCCTTGAGACTGTTTACATTGTCTCTCCTTGAGACTGTTTACATTGTCTTCCTTGAGACTGTTTCATTGTCTCTCCTTGAGACTGTTTACATTGTCTTCCTTGAGGTTACATTGTCTCCCCTTTGAGACTGTTTACATTGTCTCTCCTTGAGACTGTTTACATTGTCTCTCCTTGAACGTTTACATTGTCTCTCCTTGAGACTGTTTACATTGTCTCTCCTTGGATGTTTACATTGTCTCTCCTTGAGACTGTTTACATTGTCTCTCCTTGAGACGTTTTTGTCTCTTTTGACGTTTACATTGTCTCTCCTTGAGACTGTTTACATTGTCTCTCCTTGAGACTGTTTACATTGTCTCTCCTTGAA